ATAATACCACTAACAGTTGATCGTGGAATTATTATTATTATACATGATTTATTTAGCGCCAACAGTTTACGCAGTGCTTTACAAAATGAAGTAGATGTTACAATACAGTTTGGTACACAAGGAAACAGAGGGCCCTGCTCATTAAAGCTTACAATCTAGGAGGAAGGGTTGAGTGATACAAAAGGTAATAGCTGTGGGGGGGGTGAAGGAAATAAATGGCAGTTTACTAGGTAGAAGGATAGGCTTCTTTAAAGAGGTTTTCAGAAATTGTCTAAAGGATAGATTAGGAGATAGCCGGACAGATTGGGGTAGCGAGTTCCACAGGATGGGAGGAGGTGACATGGAAACTAGAGAGCAGAAGGTCTTGGAGGATCAAAGAGAGTGGTCTGGTTAATATTTTGAGACCATGTTGGTGATGTAGCTGGGGGCAGTGTTGTGGATGGCTTTGTAAGTTGTTAGTCTTTTGAATTTTATTCGTTGGGCATGTGGAAGCCAGTGGAGGGATTTGCAGAGAGGGGTAGCAGACACTGAACGGTTGGTAAGGTGGATGAGCCTGGCAGCAGTATCCGTGATGGACTGGAGTGGACATAGCCTATGTAAAGGTGAGCCAATCAGGAGGGAGTTGCAGTAGTCGAGGCGAGAGATGACCAGGGAGTGAATTAGGAGCTTTGTGGTATCATTGGTTGAAAAGGGGCGTATTCTGGAAATATTGCAGAGGTTGAGAGTGGCATGATTTGGACAGGGATTGGATGTGGGCCTGAAAGCATAGTTCTGAATCCAGTGTTACCCCTAGCACTCTGGCATGGGTTGATAGTGGTGCTATTGATCTTGACTGAGAAATCAGGGGAAGAGGCATGTGGGGGGAGGAAATATTATGAGCTTAGTTTTGGATAGATTGAGTTTTAGAAAGTGGTGTGACATCCAATCTGATATGTCTGTTAGTAAATTGGTGATATGAGGAAACTGATGGGGTGAGCTGAGGAGTAGAGAGATAGATTTGTGTCATCAGCATAGAAATGGTATTGGCAACTATGGGAAGCTATCAGCTGACCGAAGGAAGATGTGTATATCGAGATTAGGAGAGGTCCAAGGACAGAACCTTGAGGGACCCCGACAGTAAGAGGAGGAGGAAGTAGAGTTGTAAGTGACACTGAAGGTGCGGTGAGTTAGTGGGTTGAGGTAAAGGATGAAGTAGAGAGTTAAAGGTAAAAAAAGAGTTGACAGGGATTGCGTGAGAGGGTGTTGATGAGAGTGATAAAATAGGTCTGTTTGGCAGTGTGGAGACAAGAATTGTATTTTTGAAGGGCAGATTTATATTGGTCGAAGTCTTGCTGGGTCTTAGTCTTATGCCATAAATGCTCAAGCGCACGGCTATATTTTTGAGACATCTGGTATTGTCTGTTTGCCAGGGCTGTAGCATTGTATACAGAAGTGGCCAGCTTGGGGCAGGACAGGGCTGAGATTTTGTCATAGAGACAATCTGTTGCCAAAAAAAGAAGGGTTAAGATAGCGAAGGTTTCTATGGGTAACTGTTCGGTAGTTGGAAGAGAAGGAGGAGGAAGCCAAGGAGAGAGTGAAGCGAATAAGGGAGTGATCAGAGAGAGGAAAAGGAAAGTTGGTGAGGTTGCAAGGAGTGCATAGGTAGGAGAATACAAGGTCGAGGCAGTTACCATTACAGTGAGTAGAAGCAAGTGTCCATTGTTTTAGGTCAAAAGAAGTGGTTAGGCTCAGAAGTTTAGAGGTAGCAGGAGTGTTAAGATTAACAGGGATGTTGAAGTCACCAACAATGATTGTGGGAATTTCAGAGGAGAGAAAGTAAGGCATTCAGGCAGGCAGAGGAGTCATCAAGGAAGCTTGATACTGGTCCAGGAGGTCAGTAGATCACAGCAATTCTTAAAGAAACTGGAGAGAATAGATGAATAGTGTGAACTTCAAATGAGGAGAGGGAGCTGAATGAAGGACCTGAAAAGTGCTTTGAGAGGATAGGAGGATTCCAATTCCACCTCCTTTCCATCCACTAAGTCTGGGAGAGCGAGTCCAGAGTAGACCACCATGGGAGAGGGCAGCAGGAGAGGGGAAAGTCAGATTCATGAAGCCAGGTTTTCATAACTGCAAGTAGGTTAAAAGAGTTTGTGATTTAAAAAAAAAAAAAAAGGGTAATGGAGAGAGGTGAGTTTGTTACAGACAGAGCGGGCATTCCAGAGGGCACAGGAAAAGGTGAGGCTGGTTCTAGGAAGAAGAGGAATAGTAACTAGATTGTGTGGATTGCGGCTGCTTTTAGAGGATAGGGGTTGCCAGGTGTGTTGATCAAAGGAAAAAGCTAGAGGCCCAGGATTTGGGGAAATGTCTCCAGATGTTAGGAGATGCAGAAGGGGTGAGAGTGGTAATATGGGAGTATGACTTATATGGAGAGACATATTCCAGTGTCCTGGAGGTTTTATTAGTATGTGGGGTCAGAATTAGCAGGAGTTGAGTACAGTAGCAAGATGAAAACAGGAGTGAGGGTGATATACACCGTTCCAAATTATTATGCAAATTATATTTTTTTCATTTACCTAAATAATTGTAAATAACAGTCAGCATAATTCTCATGTTATCAACTATTAAGAGTACAGTTCAAATTTTATTGAACAAATCTAATAAGTTTTTTTTTTTAAACAAACTTACAATGCACTGTTCCAAATTATTATGCACAGCAAGTTTCAAAACGCTTTATAGGTTGTAAAGAACTGAAAATTATCATTTGTTGTGTTTGCAGCATATTTACTGAAATCAAAAGCTATTTCAATCAAACTTTTAACAACATTTTAACTTTTTAAACATTTTAACAGGTCACGTTACATTGTAACATAGGACCCCTTATTTGATAGCAGCTTCACAAGTCTTGCATCCATTGAACTTGTGAGTTTTTGGACAGTTTCTGCTTGAATTTGTTTGCAACATGTCAGATTATCCTCCCAGAGCTGCTGTTTGGATGTAAACTGCCTCCCACCCTCATAGATCTTTTGCTTGAGGATGCTCCAAAGGTTCTCAATAGGATTGAGGTCAGGGGAGGATGGAGGCCACACTATGACTTTCTCTCCTTTTATCCCCATAGCAGCCATTGATGCAGAGGTATTCTTTGCAGCATGAGATGGTGCATTGTCATGCATGAAGATGATTTTATTACGGAAAGCATAGTTCTTCCTTCTGTACCAGGGAAGAAGGTGGTCAGTCATAAACTCCACATACTTTGCAGAGGTCGTCTTTACACCTTCGGGGACCAAAAGAGGCCAACCAGCTCTGTTTCCATGATTCCGGCCCAAAACATGACTCCACCACCACCTTGGTGACGTCGCAGCCTTGTTGGAACAGGGTGGCCGTCCACCACCCCATCCACTACTCCATCCATCTGGACCATCCAGGGTTGCACGGCCCTCATCAGTGAGCAGGACTGTTTGAAAATTAGTCTTCATGTATTTTTCTGCCCAATGCAGCCGTTTCTGCTTGTGAGCATTGGTTAGTGGTGGCCGAATAGAAGGTTTATGCACAGTTGCAAGACTCTGGAGGACTCTACACCTTGATGTCCGTGGGACTCCAGAGGCACCAGCAGCTTCAAATATCTGTTTTCTTCTAATTAATGGTATTTTAGCAGCTGCTCTCTTGATCTGATGCATGAATCTGGCAGAAATCTTCCTCAATGTGCCTTTATCTGCACAAACCCATCTGTGCTCTGAATCAGCCACAAATCTCTTAATAGTGCGATGATCACGCTTAAGTTTTCGTGAAATATCTAATGTTTTCATACCTTGTCCAAGGCATTGAACTATTTCACTCTTTTCGGCAGCAGAGTGATCCCTTTCTTCCCCATATTGCTTGAAAATAGTGCTCTGCTTAATAATGTGGAACACCCTCTTTTAGTAGTTTTTCCTTAAATTGGGCTCACCGGCCAATCTAATTATCACAGGTGTCCGAGATTGTTTTCAGTGATCAAAAGAGCCCTGACACACAATGCCATCCATGTGTTAAACTGAAAAACAAAATATTTCATCTTTGTGACACTTAAATAGAATTTGCATAATAATTTGGAACAGGGTGTACAGTGGATATAAAAACAGACCCCTGCTAAAATGTCAGGTTTCTGTGATGTAAAAAAATGACAAAGATACATCATTTCAGAACTTTTTCCACCTTTAATGTGACCTATAAACAGTACAACTCAACTGAGCAACAAACTGAAGTCTTTCAAGGGGGGGGGGGGGGGGGATAAACATAAAAAACTAAAATAATGTGGTTGTGTAATTGTGCACCCTCTTATAACTGGTGATGTAGCTGTTTTCAGAATTAAGCAATCACATTCAAAATCATGTTAAATAGCAGTCAGTACACACCTGCCATCATTTAAAGTGCCTCTGATTAACCCCAAATAAAGTTCAGCTGTTCTAGTAGGTCTTTCATGACATTTTCTTAGTCACATAAAGCCATGGTCTGCAGAGAGCTTCCAAAGCATCAGAGGGATCTCATTGTTAAAAAGGTATCCATCAGAAGGGTACAAAAGAATTTCCAAGGCATTAGATATATCATGGAATACAGTGAAGACAGTCATCATCAAGTGGAAAAAAATATGGTGCAACAGTGACATTACCAAGAACTGGACGTCCCTCCAAAATTGATGAAAAGACGAGAAGAAAACTGGTCTAGGAGGCTGCCAAGAGGCCTACAGCAACATTAACCACTTGCCTACCAGGCACTTATACCCCCTTCCTTACCAGGCCAATTTTCAGCTTTCAGCGCTGCCGCACTTTGATTGACAATTGCGCGGTCATGCAACATTGTACCCATATGAAATTTTGATCATTTTTTTCTCACAAATAGAGCTTTCTTTTGGTGGTATTTAATCGCCACTGGGCGCTTTACTTTTTGCGCTATAAATTAAAAAAAGTGCAAAAAATTTGAAAAAAAAAAAAAAAGTTTATTTGTTTCTTTTTATAAAATTTTTCAAACAGGTATTTTTTCTCCTTCACTGATTTGCGTTGATGAGGCAGCACTGATAGGCAGTACTAATGAGGTGGCACGGATAGGCGGCACTGATAGACAGCACTAATTAGGGGTCACGGATAGGCGGCACTGATATGCAGCACTGATAGGCGGCACTGATAGGTGACACTGATGATGGGTACTGATAGACGGCACTGACTGGCATCACTTCTGGGCACTGACTGGCACAACCCCTGGGCACTGACTGGTGGCACTGACTGGCAGCACTGCTGGGCTGCACTGGTGGGCGGCACAGGTGGGTGGCACTGCTGGGCACATGTAGGTGGCACTTCTGGGCACATGTAGGTGGCACTGCAGAGTGGCACAGGTAGGTGGCACTGCTGGGCACAGGTGGGGGCACTGCTGGGAACGGGTGGGTGGGCGGGGCTAGTGGGCGCACTGCTGGGCGGAACTTGCGGGTGTCACTGCTGGGCACCGATCATCAGGGCACTGATCATCAGTGCCCTGATGATCGGTGCCGATCCCCGCTCTGACAACTGCCGGTTCTCGGCAGTACTTTCCTCACGATCTGACAGCGTGAGGAAAGTGCAGCCGAGAACCGGCACTTGCATTTCCCTGTGATCAGCGTGTCATTGGACACCGCTGATCACGTGGTAAAAGGCCGGTGGGATCGGCCTTTCACCACATCACGTGATCAGCTGTGTCCGTAGGACACAGCGATCACGGGAGAGCGCCGGGGTGCGCGCCCCCTGGGGCGCGCAGGAGAGCGCGTTCTGGGAGGACGTCATATGACGTCCACTCAGAACTGGCCGGCCGCGGTGAAGCCGTCATTCGGCTATGCGCGGTCGGCAAGAAGTTAAAGGAGCTGCAGGAATATCTGGCAAGTACTGTCTGTGTGGTACATGTGACACCAATCTCCTGTATTCTTCATATGTCTGGGCTATGGGGTAGAGTGGCAGGACGAATGCCTTTTCTTACGAAGAAAAACATCTACACTTTGCAAAAACACATGAAGTCTCCCAAAAGCATGTGGGAAAATGGTCTGATGAAACCAAGGTTGAATTTTTTTGGCCATAATTCCAAAAGATATGTTTGGCGCAAATACAACACTGCACATCACCAAAAGGACACCATACCCACAGTGACGCATGGTGGTGGCAGCATCATGCTTTGGGGCTGTTTTTTTTTTTCTTTTAGCTGGAACTGGGGCCTTAGTCAAGGTAGAGGGAAATATGAACAGTTCCAAATACCAGTCAGCATTGGCACAAACCTTCAGGCTGAACTTGAAGAGGAACTTCATCTTTCAGCATGACAGTGACTCAAAGCATACATCCAAATCAACAAAGGAATGGCTTCATGAGAAGAAGATTAAAGTTTTGGAATGGCCCATCCAGAGCCCAGACCTGAATCCAATTGAAAATCTGTGAGGTGATCTGAAAAGGGCTGTGCACAGGAGATGTCCTCACAATCTCACAGATTTGCAGTGATTTGCACAGAAGAGTGGGCAGAAATTGCCAAGTCAAGATGTGCCATGCTGATAGACTCATACCCAAAAAGACTGAATGCTGTAAGAAAATCAAAAGGTGCTTCAACAAAGTATTAGTTTAAGGGTGTGCACACTTATGCAACCATATTATTTTAGTTTTTTATTTTTCCCTCCACCTAAAAGATTTCAGTTTGTTCAAATGAGTCGTACAGTTTATAGGTTACATTAAAGGTTGAAAAAGTTCTGAAATTATTTATCTTTGTCTCATTTTTTTTTACATCACATAAACCTGACATTTAACAGGGGTATGTAGACTTTTTTATATCCACTGTATATAAGCTGTGGGGTGGAGAAGAGGGGTGAAGGAGAGAGTTTGAAGAGAGAGGATGCAACAGTGAGAAGGATTAGGGAGTGCATGTTACAGAATGGTGAGATGATGAAGCAGACTGGGTAAGAGCTGGACAGGGAAACAGGTCACCTGTAGTCTGTTTAGTATTTGAAGTTGTCTGCTGTGGCTTCTCGCTTTGTGCATTCACTGAAGTGGAATATTTTGTAGCAAGGAAATTTCATGGATGCACTATTGCACAGGTGGCAACCTATCATGGTGCCACACTTCTGAGAACGACCCATTCTTTCGCAAATAATTGTAGAAGCAGTCTGCATGCCTAGGTGCTTTATTTTATACACCTGAATCCAATGATTTGGAAGGGGCATCCCAATACTTTTAGCAATATAGTGTATGTTCCTTTCTAAAGTACATCTTTATTAAAAAAAAAATTGTCAAAAGTAAAGTTCCTCTTTAAGATCCTTTTCTGCTGGATCCATTACCATTATTAGGCCTTTTTCACACAAGGTGGATCTGCTCAGGAGGGAATCTGTCAGTTGATCCCCTGCTGAGAAGAGCAGGTGGATGACAGGTCCATGCCTGCTCGGTTTATGCAGAGTGGACATGGACTGTGCCTGCTCTGCTCTATAGGCAGTCTGGTGTAAACATCTGGCTGTCCATTTACATCTACTTCCAATTCGATCTGCCTACATGGAAGAGGACAAATCCTCTTCCATTTGTGTTTAGGGGATCGGAGGTAGGTGGGTGTAAACAAACACAAGTCCATTTCCGCATGGGAGTCCATAGAGATGAATGGACTGCCCAATCATATCCACCTGAAAAACTGACAGGAGGACCTGATCAGAATGGTTGCATGAGAGAGGCCAGATTTAATGCAATGTACAAATGGATCCTGCCTGCACCTGTCAGCAAAGTCTTATCCCCATATGACCATAGAGGATACAACACATCCAGATGTCAGAGCTCACATATCTGCAAAGGCATCCCAACTCAAAGTCTCATACTTTCAGTGGGAATGTCCGTTACTGCTACAGTCTGAAAGAACCCTCATAAAGGTTATCTCCACTTCAGTCCTTTATGTAACTAGGACACAGCACAAACCAGGTCAGTTGTGTGGCAAAGAGAAAAGCAGTGTTCTGTCCCCACCTCCTATGCGACATGATGACACGACTTCAGTGCACTCCAAGCGGCACCTTCTGTGGTCTAACTTAGAATAGTTCGGTGTATAGCTGGAATTTCACTTTTAAATGTGGACTACAGCATAACTGATTTGAGCCTTCTCCCTTGCCCACTCTGAGCTCCACTGTACAGTGGCCTCCAAGAAATCTTTGAATATATTATATTGGCTGTCACTGACCTCTTGTGAAAATGTTATTGGCATATAATGTGATTCCTGTGGCTTCAGAGTCTGGAATAAACCTGCAAATCAGGCGTTCTGATTTAATTGGCTGTATGCTTGTTCTAGGCTATTCAGACTAAAATCACTGCCAGAGACAGGCAACTTCCATTTTCAAAAGATCAGCAATTACAGATTATGGGGTCAATTCACTAAGTTAAATAATGACTGAAAGAATGCGGTAAAAAACACGTGGTAAATCTTTTGCAAATGTGCAATTCACTAAGAATTTTACGGTAAATAACTCTTGCAGTAAGATATCTGCATTGCGGTAATCACCGCATATTTTCATGCAGTAATCACACAGCTGGGTCTTAAGGAATCCTTAACAATGGATGGCTCATGAGCTGTCAGCCACTGAATGTAAACAAAACATGCCAGCAATTACAAATGATGCAAAAAAATAAGTGTGTGGGGCTTTCCCCACATTTATATCAGGCCCTTTGGGTCTGGTATGGATTTTAAGGAAGACCCCCCCCCACCAAAAAAACAGCTTTCAAGTCCAACATGGATTTGGGGGGGGAACCTCACACCTTTTTTTTAAATTTTGGCATGGGGTTCCTTTTAATAGTCATACCAGACCCCCCCCCCCCTTCTGTTTGTGAATTGGATGTCAGCTTACCATATTTTATATGCGGTATTTACCAACACTTTTTTTATTTTTGCGTTAAATACCTCAGCTTTTTTTTTGTGAACTGGACATTGTTACTGCATGCGATAAATTTATGCAAATGAGTCATGTGACAGTGTTATCGCATGCGGTAACCTTTAGTGAATTGGCCTACCGGTATATATACACCCATGATTATAGTGTTGCTAGAAAGTATTGGCAGCTGTGCCCCCGATGTATTATTATAATGATACTTATAAAATGCAGGCTTTACCAGGCTGACAACTGATTGGTGTTGGGCCTCTCCCTTCCCCCTGGAGTGCTACTTTTCTAATCATTGATTTCAGCCCCAGTGGCATTTTATTAGGTTAGGTTCACACTAGCAAATGGCCTGAAAAGAAGTCCTCAGTGGATTGATTTTCAGAGTACAGCTAAGCAGCCACTGTCAGCTGTTGAAGAGGTGATTCTGCCACCTCCTTAATGCCAATGTGGCTAATGCATTGCAAGCCAAGCTGTTAGCTAGCAGTTGCAGTGTGGCCCCTTGACTCGGATAGCTGAGTTTTACAGGGCTTGTGGACCTGGCATGTCACAATAAACTTGGTGGCTGCAGCATGTGAATAGTCTCCTCTGGATGTATTTTACAGTTTAGGTTGCCAACAAAGCCATGGCTCTGCAGCCTATTTTTACTGCCCCACCTTAGCCACCCTATGTGAAAGAGGCCTTACAGATGCATGTACAATGCTTGTGTGCACCAACTGTTTACAGACATTTCCTAAAGTGCAAAGTACCAATACATTTTTTAAAGAGATGACACTTTACAATGTCTCAGTTTTATGGCACTTTAGATTACTTAAGACTAATTCCCATGGGTGCAAAAAAAAAAAAAAAAAAAAAAAAAAAAAAATTCGCATATTTCTGCTCCCAGAAGGGACAGATGTCTGTATACAGCTGCACATACAAGTCAATGACATGCTGTGGCTATAAGCTTGTAACTGCACAGCCTGGAGACAGACAATTTGCATCGAGAGGCAGTGAAGGCTGACAGTTGCGGCCGTTCCACGATTTGTACAGAGATGGGGGGCAGCATCCTGTACAAACACTTGTACTGCCAGGCACAGAAATATATGATGTATCTGACTCTGTACGCCACGTGGATGGGCCCTAGGATGTGTTTACTGCTTCGAAGATTTATTTACTTTTTTTGTTCAATAAATGTATTTTCTTTTTTAGTAAAACAATGGCCAAAAGCAAAGGAAAAGGACAGAAACAAAGTAATGTATTTCATGTCGCAAACAGTAGAAGTGTAAAAGCCCAAAAACAAAGCCAAACCTGTAACATCCACACTAAAGAAAGTAGGTATTCTATTTTAGCTGGATATTACTGGCATTATGAATCCTTTTAGCTGGATATTATTGGCATTATGAATCCTTTCAATATACTGTTTGTTTCTTTAATAGATCAATATCTCCAACAATGACAAAGTGAGCAAAGTCAACAAAGCTTTCACAGAATTGCACAAAGATGTTGCCCAGTTGAAGAAGATGACTGCATCAAAGCCAAGCCAGGTAATAAAAGTATGTTTTACGGTGAATTGAATCACACAAGAAATTTGTGGACACCTTTTAGGTCTGGGTTTCATGCAGCTAACCAATTCTAAATAAAATGCATTTTATTAACCACTTGCCCTCCTGGAGGATTTACCCCCTTCCTGACCAGGCCATTTTATGTTGATCACTGTATTTGTCAGTTAGCATACCTCCCAGTCAGCATCTTAGAGTGGGACTGTGATAGGCAATTTAAGATGTTGCTTACCACCATTACCAGTA